TGTATGTATGTATGTATGTATGTATGTATGTATGTATGTATGTATGTATTTAACAAGATGGCAATCTGATCAGTTAATTAATTATAGGAAAGCTAATAAAGCTAACAAACTAATTCAAATGATTCTCATGTACCAAGTGAAAGCGCTATTTGTAATGAAATCAATGTTCAAATTTTTGTACTGCTTTGCACTCCAACCAACAAGGTATAAGGCTGCAACATTCTTTTTGGGAAAAAGGGTCTATTTCCATCTGTCTCTTGTTTTAGTAGTGAATTATTTTGACCCCAGGCTGATTGCTTGCAACAATATAAAAACTGGATCTTGCACAAAACTACCCAAACTACAAAACACATAAGACCCTAGAACACTGAAAATGGCCACAATATATAGCAGTTAATTGGTGAGTTATTAGCTAACACTAGAAAGGTTTTCTCCTCTGAACAGACATGAGAATGGATTAAGAAGGTATTAGATAAACTTATCAGGGCATATGAAGATGGAAACACATTTTATTGAACAGGTGCAAAATATATTTTGTTTAGAGACATTAATGAATCTTCCTTCTAAATGGCAAAAATACATAAAAGGCAAAAATGAAAGACAGAGATCCCAAATAAGTCCTGTCTATAGAGGAATGGGTTTTTGCTTAAGTCACTCTAAATATCAGTGTTGACGGCCCTTTGTATCATCAGTTCATCAATTCAGATCAGATAAAATTGTCCTGCAAGATCACGATGGCCATAAAGTTGTCAAAAAAAAAAGAAAAAAAAATAGGAAATTTTATTCCAAAATTTCAAGCAGAAACTGTGGCAGGGTTCTGTCGATGAGTTGACAAATTGCATATGACAACTAGGCTAGATTCCAATCTCAGAAATGAATCTGATACAGAATGGGACACTTGCCACAAGCTCTCAAAATTTTGGATTGAACAACATCTCTAGAGCTTGCATTGGAATAGAAAAGCACCTATGTATATATAACAGGTGGCTAACGATCCTGGCTCTGAAGAGTTCCTTTGCAGCTGGAATATGGTTATTGCTGCCGCAGTTAGCAATATGCAGAATTGCGTTTGAGAGATTATATGTCCTGGTAGTAACATCTCTTTGCTGATGATTCCAGGTTATCATAGTTTGGAAGGATGTGTCCAAATGTTTAAAAATCTTAATTTGATATATTCTGAAGCTTTTGATTTTCCAGGAATGACAGACAGAACATATCTTTTGGAGAAGTTGTCTACTTTAGTACATTTTTTTGTAGTTAATTATTAGTTTCTCATTGCAATGATGGACAAGAGTATACAGGCCCCATCTCAAGCCCATATATGTTAAAAGGAGGATTGCTGCACTGCCCACTTATAAAAATCCGAGTATAGGAAGTTATGAAAGTTCTTGGCAGCTCTTTGCTTTTTAAATCCTGGTTTTAGTGTATTTTTATTTGTTTTAATTTTTCACTGCCTTGTATTATGTATAAAAGATGGGCAGCCATTAAAATTTATTAAATAGGCCAAAACCATACTACTGAGCATGTCTGGTAGTGGGGAAACTGAAGTTTATCAAAACCTAGACTAATGAACTAAGACTAAGAGTTAAGAAGTAGGGGCACCAAAATGCAACCTTGCACCTTTTTATGAATGCACATCATAGGTACCCTAAAGTAGGTACGAGACCCCTGGGCCTCAGCCTATTCGGAATTAGGCCCAATTCCCCTTCTCCCCCCCAACAAGCTGGGCCGGCAATCGCAAAGGTTGGGGACTGTTGCCCAAAAGCACTACAATGAATTTGCTTCCATCTTATGTAATTTCATAACTGACAGAAAAAGGCATCAATAGAAGAAACAGCTAGATTCTCCCAGAGCCTGGTTCTAAGAGACTGAATAAGACATTATAGAGGTTCTGGGTGGACAACTGATATATTGTAGAGAAAAATAGAACACTGAACCCTCTGCTTATGCTTCTATCACAATATTATTCTGCACCATCCAGCTGATGGGGTATAATTATTTTGATCCTTCTGGTCTCTCTCTCTCTCTCTCTCTCTCTCTCTCTCTCTCTCTCTCTCTCTCTCTCTCCCTCTCCCTCTCCCTCTCTCTCTCTCTCTCTCCCCCTCCCTCCCTCCCTCCCTCCCTCTCTGTGCATATCATGATTGTTCTACTCCAAGCTTCATTGATCAGGAAAGAATTTCTATTGGTGAAAAGGGTGCCCATGACTGAGGCCAACCAGTCCATGTTTTTTGGGACCAGTACTTAATTACAACCTGAAGATGAGTTGTCCACGGGATATGATTGGAAGAAAGGGAAACAAAATTTTAAACTCAAATGAAGCACAATGTCTGAATCATGGGAATGACTTGACTTTATTTTGCAACAGATCCAACCTGGAATACTGACTTGGTGGTGGTGGGGATATACACTACCTCTCTTCAAATACCTGAAAAGATGTCATTGAAGAAGGACTGAATACAGAATAATGGTATGAGTTATAAAAAAATAGGTTTTGATTAAAAGTTAGGGGAACAAAAATCCTATAAGAGTTAATAATTGGAAAGATGTTGAATTCCCCCTCACCAGAGAGCCTAGACAACTGTCTTCTGGGTGTGTTTTAACTTGGCTTCTTGCATGGAGCAGGGAGTTTAGAATGATGGGCCCTTCCATCACTCAATTTTATAAAAAAATATTATATGGTATGTACCTTGTACAAAATGATGTCTACACTCAGTACAGATGGATATATGTTTGAATACACTTTTATTAGGAATGAAATAGTTCACTAATGAGAATCTTCTTGATTAGCTAATTGATTGATTAAATCTTGGAAAGTAGCTAATTCCAGGTATTACAACAGAAAAATCTGGCAAACTGGTACCCTTTTTCCAAGCATTGGAATAAGGTTAACGAGGAGACCATCGGCATATTTTTTACCCAATTTCATCTCCTTTAACTTGGCATCTAGCAATTATAGCATTCATGTTTAATAATGTTCTTGGAACATGAGCCACCTGAGACCAAATTATCAGGCCATGCTGCCTGAGGGAAAAGTTTCGGACACAATGGGGTAAAGAGCTCATTGAATTCTGCTATTTCACTGTATTTTATCAGTCCATGATTAAAACATTAGAGACCTCTACTACTGTCCCAGAATCTAATGGCCTCAATGATTCAGTCTGTAACCACAGAATAGCTGATTGTGGCTATTGGAATGCCATGTCTCAGCAAACGTAAGCATAAAATTGACAGTTGGCCTGAAATGTACCACAATTAACACATGCCACTTCAAATGGTTCTAGATTAATAAGGGCAAGAGATGTTTATGAGACAGCTAAATTCATTCTTAAATAATATCTGCTGAAATCTCCTAAGTATGGTTCCATTCCAGGTCTGGCATTAAAACCTCAACTAATTTAAAAAATCATCTACCAAATGATATCTTTGTTGAAATATCATATTACAGTACCAAGGGTTCTTTTAAAGATGTTATTTCAGTCTTGTCTTCTCAATAGGCATGATAAAAGTTACCTCAGTAGAGAAAGGGGACATCAATTTTCTTTTAGAAATAGTTTTGGTACTTATAAAATGGAGATACAGATAATCTGAGCATAGAAATGGTTCAACTGAGGTGCAACAAATATATTAGTTACTAACTCAGTGAGTCTGTCTGTCTGTCTGTCCATCTGCCCGCCCATCCATCCATCCACCTACCCACCCACTTACCTACCTACCTATCTCTATCTAATTTTTACATCACCCTTTTCACCTGTGACTTTGGGCAGTTTAGAAGTAAAAAATATCTGAACTGTGCATGCTTCTGTGGGAAAACTTCCATAACTGAAGTGACTCTTGTGACTCAACTGCAGTTAGCAAGGGTGTTAGTAGCAATACCCATATTGTAACATATTGTCTTTGCTTGATATTTTGGAGTACAATTGCCATCTTCTCAGGTTATTATGGCAATGCTATCTCCGTTTAAATCAATAGTGCAAAACACCAGGTGGGCATCAATTTATGATGGGTATATTCCATGATCACTGGCTTGATCTTTTTCATCTCCTACTTCAAACACCCATGTGCTCTCCCTTTCCTTTACTCAATCATCCTCATGAAGTAATGCAATGGATTTCACATTTCTAAATGTCTCTCTCACCTTTGCAAAAATGCTTTTGCAAAGAGGAGAAAGGCCTGCAGGAAAGAGAGTTTTGCCATTGGCTGCATATGCCTTCCCTCACCCACCATTAACTAGTGTAATCAGTACTAGTGGAGCTAACGCTGGGCAAGAGGCTAGTGACAAAAGAAAAACAGCTTCGCCAGAAAAAGACGGCCACTTTTCTGCCTGTTCTCCTTTCCTACCACAATATCTTGAACTCTGGAGATCTTTGAAGGTAAGTGAGCAATCGGTGATGGGGTGGGGAGCAGCATGTGGAACCAAGTGGGCTAGCAAAGCAGGCCCAGTGCCTGTGGGAGAAATAGGCAGGGGGCATGTGGCAGCATCTCTGTGGTCAGTCATAAGGGCAAACGAACACAGTGGTGCTGCAACATACATAACTTCGGAATTGGGTCAAAAATGTTTTTGGGAGAGAGGGTGTCATAACTTTGAACCATCACTAAGTGACTTTCCTAACATAAGGACTACCTGTATTAAAAAGTTGTCCGTAAATCTAAGTAATATTATTTGATATTATTTATTATAGTAATATTAAGTAATTTTATTTGATCATTGGGTGCATATATTGCCTTGCTTTATCCTTTCTGGCTTTAGAACTATGATTTTTCTATCTTGTCTAATAAATAATACAATCTTTTTAGCAAAGATCTAGTCCATTTCAATGCACTGCTGTCTAAGACAATGTATATTCGATACATTTAGTCTTTCACAGTGTTGAACTTTCCCTTGTTCATGCTTTTTACTTTCCATGTTCTCACTGTAATTTGTCTATGGAGATTTAATTTTATTTTCCTGCATGGTAACATCAGTATGTAGATGGCTTTAATCTATTGTGCCATCCTCAGCTCTTCCTGGTAGCACACTGAGTGCCATCCAGCTTGAGAGGTCCAAAATCCAACACTACATCATCATAAATTTATCTTGTTTGTTAATGTGGTTTTATTGTATAGCAGTTGTTTGCTATTGTCTTCTCTTGTGCAGTATGAAATCACGTCACCACTACTTCCAGCATCCTCCCATATTGCTGCTGCCTGCTTACTGTAACTCTGTGCCTTAGTTCATGATACTGTATATTCTTGGCATATACAATGTTTTTTGCTCATTCCTCCCAGAAATATCTCCACTGCTGCCCCTCACCATAATGAGACCGCATAGCAGGAGTGTGTGTGTGTGTGTGTGTATGTGTTTGTGTGATAAGACCATATCATCCCCTCAAACAATATGCAGTGGAACTGAATTATTAAAAAAAAACCCACTGTTCAGTTGCTACTTACTTTGTACCCAGAGATGCCAAGATAGGTACTGCTTGAATTCAATAATTATCTAATATTATTCCAACAAACTGTAAGACAATATTTATTTCAGTTCACTTTGATGCTTAACATGAATTTTACTGCGGGGAAAATAGTGCAATACTTCAATTTTTGAACACATCAGTGTAAAGGATGTATAAAGGATAGAAACAATAAGCCATTACACAAGTCTTGTGTCACGTATTCATTTATTTTCTGTTTAACACACAGAATAACAAGGGACCTTGGAGATCTTCTAGTCCAATCCCCTGCTCAAGCAGGAGACCCTATATACTTTCAGACAAATGGTTGCCCAATCTCTTCATAAAACCTTCAGTGTTGGAGCACCCACAATTTCTGGAGGCAAGTTATTCCACTGATTAATTGTTTTAATTGTCAGAAAATTTCTCCTTCGTTCTAGATTGCTTCTCCCCTTGATTAGTTTCCATCCATTGCTTCTTGTCCTGCCTTCAGGTGCTTTGGAAAAGAGGTTGATCCCATCTTCTTTGTGGCAGCCCCTCAGATATTGGAACACTGCTATCATGTCACCCCTAGCCCTTATTTTCATTAAAATAGACATACCCAATTCCTGCAACCATTCTTTGTATGCTTTTTAATATCATGGCAACCAAAACTGGATGCAATATTCCAGTTGTGGTCTTACCAAAGTATTATAAAATGATACTAATGCTTCATGTGATCTTGATTCTATCCCTCAATTAATGCAGCCCAGGACTGTATTGACAGTTGTATTTTTATCTTTCCAATAAATATAATTTCCAAAGAATCTACTGTACTGTGTTACTTGGCTGATTATTGGATATGCCTTCATTCTTGATAATAGTAAGTCATTAGTCTACTGAATGAATTTATCTAATATATTTTGTATAACCTATACTAGTTAAACGAAGCAAACAACAAGTAAGTATGATGAGGCCTTCTTTTAAAAGTATGCAGAATACTATTGAGAAATGCCACCGATCTTATTAAGTGTTTCTACAACCCATGGAAATGTGTTTGACATTTTCACTAAGCATGGACTATCATATTTCATTCATTCCAGCTAGAATACAACATGTAACACTATCTTTGTCAGCTTTCATTAAAGATTTGTAGAACTGAGTTCTCCCATATATCTATCACATACAAATAATGGACTCAAAAAATGAACTAAGATACAACTGAAGAAATGTATTTCCCCCAAGTTATTTTTGCTACTTACGAATGTTGTCTGTGCTCTCCCTCACAATATCAGTCTTAAGGAGGTTATCTGCAAGCACAAAGGCACTTTCTTCCACAGTGTCCAGTAACATGGTGGCTGCCCGCAGCTGATCACGCGCAGGAAGGTCCCTCCATGCATTTAGAGCTTGTGGCTGCAGGAGGTTATTAACTGTTTCAACCATGGCCTGTGAAAGAGGAGAAAAATGGGTTTTTGGCAGCCCCCTTCCATTCATTAAAAAGAACATAACAAGCAACAGGACCACATTTTCCAGTGTAACAAACTACAGCTCTCAAATGTTAGTGAAGATTTAAAAATGAACAGTTACATGAGAGCAAAAGTAACATGTTCCAAATTAATCAGGATATGTTTAATAAATAAAGATAAACTATATTATTTATGACTGTGAACCAAAAAGAGTGGAAATTAATACATGTTAAATTACCCACCTTAAAATCTCTACAACATAAATTATAAACAGACAGATTTGTATATGAGCTTGCTCATATGTTAGCTTCAACAGACCTCCACTTTTACTTTCAAGTGTAACCCTCATCTTTTATAAATCAAAGCCAATGTTTAAGCTGGGATCAGTCTTTAATTAGCTAGGTGTTTTTATAGTTTAATTGTTCATCCTGGAATCAAAATATACTTTGTGTATGTTCAGCTAAAACAAATAAGAATAATAATTGGTATAGTAGCTGATGTAGTTCAATAGCATCTACTTGAAAACAACCTCTTTCTACCTAAGCAGAAAAGAAACTGCCCAAACAGCAGAAGAACAAAAGATTAGCCCCTAAATGACAAAATAATTTTGGAAAACTGCAAGAGAAGTATGACCAACTAAAATGTAGCTTGGCATGATTATAAAAAGATATTCAACTCCTGCCACATGACTGAATAATCAAGTGCCTAGAAATAAAAGGTTTCGGGAGAAACATCAGAAGTTTTTTGCAAAAATGAATGGCAAATGGAAGACAGAGTTGCTGATCAATGGTGATAGAACGAGAGAGGTTAATATTAAGAGAGGACTCTTTCAAGGAGATTCACTATGACCACTACTGTTTGTCATTGCACTGATTCCTCTGTCAACAATACTGAACAAGTCAGGTCATAGCTATGAAACATCAAAAACATCTGCCATGCTATCCCACTTCCTTTACATGGGTGATCTGAAGCTGTATGGAAAACACTATCTGAAATAAAATTGCTGCTCGATACTGTCTGTATATACAATCAAGATATTGCAAGATATTGGAGTTTGGACTTGGCAAATGTGCCGCCCTCAGCACAAACAAAGGAAAAATACTGAAATCTGAAGGAATCAGGATGCCCTATGGAAATAAAATCAAGAGTCTAGATGAAGAAGACCACTACAAATATTTGGAAAGTTAAAAAAAAATCTTGCTTCTGACATCTCTTCACTTATTGGTTGGCCCCCATATCTAGTTCTACACATATATATTTCAGAGGTAGTATTCAGCAGGTTCTGACCAGTTCTGGACAACTGGTAGCAGAAATGTTGAATAGTTCGGAGAACCGGCAAATACCACCTCTGGCTAGAAATTTTACAGTATCCTTCCCCTGCCACACCCATCAAGCCATCACCACAGAACCGGCAGTAAAAAAAAGTTGAATCCCACCACTGATCTATTTCCTTTCCAGTTTCTCTCAGAGTGCTTATGTTTATAGAGATATTATGCATTCATACCTTTAGTTGCATTTTCAAAGCAGCATTTTGTCTCTTGGAAAAGAAGAATGGGAATGGGCAAATCTTTTCTTAAACAACTAAGGGAGGTTTAATTTTAATTTAATTAATTTAATTTTAACAATCATTAAAGATCAAAACCATTTGTAAAATTTCAGTAAATTATCCTTGATATGATATTTTGCATGTGTTTTTAAAAGTGTTGCTATCTGAATATCATGGACAATAAACCTTTGTGCTCTGTGTAGTTCATAAGACAATTCTAGGAATCAGCAGTTTTCATCATGCCCGCCCCTCATCTAGTTACTTTTTAATATTAATATAATCTATTAAAAAAAGAAAAATCAGGACAAGACAGTTTGACAGGTAGTTACCCTTCACATATAACTTATAGGATACATAATCATGTGATAATTGATTTTCAGATCTAATGTAAAAAAACCTGGTGCCAATCACTTGTGAAAATGGGAAAAATTGAAATCACCCAAACCATCCACATATTGTGGTAGCATTATCTAAAGAATAAGTTGCCACAGAAATAATCATTTCAGTTAATGGGATTTTTCTGATCAGATCTTTACTTTCAGATACATTATACTTTTCAACAAGATATTTTTATTATCCTTTTTCCTTTTTTTAATTAATGATTCCTGAGACTAGATAATTAGCTATTTTTCTAAGAGTTGTACAATTCTTCTAATAATAATAGTAGATAATAATAGTAGTAAAAATGAGCACACAAAACAATGATATATTGAATGAGAAAATGGAAAGTACCTGGACATAAGCTCTACAAGAACGTTCCCGTTTCTGAAGCTGGTTCCACAAAGATGGCAGTTATGAAAACAGAATTTTAATAAATTAGCATTAGAAGAAAACAAAATATATAAAACAATGATACAAGAGTACTTTTTTCTTAATAATATTATAGACTCTAAGCTAGGCATCTAACTACTGAACACCAGATACAATTATTAAGTTATTAAAATTATTAAGATAAAGTATAAGCATTATAGATTTCAATTCAAATCTTTCTATCCTAAAAATACCTCTTTATTTTTAAGACTGTTTAAGTTACTTAAAACTAAGCAACAAAGCAATGTTTATGATGTAATAAAACCAAGCAAAGATTTAGGACTTAGAATTTCCAGTTATGATTTTGCCATAGGCCATGTTCTCTTTTATAACTCAACAGTCTCATTCAGTCTCTTGGCAAATATAGAACTTCGCTCATCAGAATAGAATTTAAGAGAACTTGCCGTTTTTGCCAATTATCTAATTACTGTATATTTTAAAAAAAACTGAATTACAATATGCTAAACTAACTTATTTTAGAGAAATTTAAGTAGAATATTTCTATGGAAATAATTTATGAAGCAATAACAAGCTTACATTTACATTCACTTATTCTCTCTCTCTCTCTCTCTCTCTCTCTCTGAATAAAACATAAACTTAGAAACAGCATAATGAGTGTTGTGGAAATTTAGAAAATCTCTTTAAGTGAATTTAGTTGAGAATATTTGAGTGATCAGAAACATAGCAACAAGAAGAACAGAGCTTTTAAAAGTACCTATAAAATATTTATTAAAGCAGATAAATTACAATAGAACCACTACAACAATCATAGTGGTTCAAAATAATATGTTTCCACAATAACATTTGGAAAGTCCCAAATTTCAAGATAGATAATTATTCCCTGATCTTGTAAAATAGTAGATCATCTGACAATAATATGGGTCTAAGAATTGGTGGCTTTTCTACAATTCATACTTTTTTAAATTAAAAAAACCCCAGTGACATGGAAATATTCTCAAAAGTGAAAGTGCTTTGCATTGCACATAATGTTTAGGAGTGCAAACATAAATAGTGTTATATTCACAGTGAGAATTAATATGGTAGTCCCATCCAGATTTGATAAGACTGCCTTCCATAGGCCATGGGTATATACAATGTTGTTTCAGAAGCATTCATTTTTTAAATGTACAAATAATTCAATGTTGACAAAAACCTTCTCAAAATATAGTTAAATTGAGTAATTTATAATTTTCTTGCTATATAGGAAAGATAAAGAAGTTGCAAATTGAATATTTTCTTTCTTGGGTATACTACACAGATTTATGCAAATTCCATCTGAAATGAAAATCCTTGCCAAAGTGGTTAGCTTTTTCACTGAGAGGGATATAGAAGAAAATCCAAGAAAAAATACTATAATGAATTTATATTTATTTATTGATTAAACATATATGCATTCCCTCTTTCCACAGGTGACTCTAGGTGGCTTAAATAAAGAGTGAATAAAAAATAACAAACCTTGATTCCAAATCTGTTTTGATACATTTTTATAAGTATATAACATATCAATATATTTGAAACATTTATTATTCTATTATTGATATGATAATTGTCATTCAAAGATGATTCATAGATTTTGTTCTAACCTCTGTTTTTAACTAACAATTAATCCAACAGAATTAAAGAGAAAAAAATCTCAGTGTAATTGGACTAGTAATATGGACTATTATCAGATTATTTAAACCAGGGAACAAAGGTGGACTGAAGACATCTTTGCTTTCAATGGAGCCAATGACCATGGCAGAATGAGGAAGTGATAAATGGATTGATGCCTCAAAATTGTTCTCTGATAAAGAAGAGAACTTGGATCGCAAGGACTTCTTGTAGATGCTTCCCATGGTGAGACTGTAACATAGTCTCACCGTGGGAGACATCTCTCTGGAGAGGCAGTAAGAAGTTTTACCCAAGCTGCAATTTGAAGTCTTCAAAAGGAGACTGGTTCATACACTTCCTTTCTTAATCACTTCTGGAAATAGCTTGTAAATTGCTTTTTGGATACTAACAACCTTCAAAAAGACATATTTTAAACACTGAATGATTTTCTTTCAATCCTTAGCAAAAGAAATTTCATGTAAATTTAAGAACTTAAAGAAAATGTTTTATTTGGAAATAAGTAATAATGGGATGATCCCTTTATCCATATTTTGGATAGTTATAAATGGACTAAAGGGCCAGATTGACTGGAAATAAGATTTTGGAACTAATTATAAGAATCCATATAATCCTGTGGTTTGTTCAAAATCCTATTAAAGTATATGAAGAGAATGAGTCTTAAGTGTATGAAATCTTTTCATGGGAAAATGTTGTGGATTAGAGAAACCCGAAAGGCTGGTTACTAGAGGCAACAAGAAAAAAACTAAAGATTATAATTAAAGAAGACCCACCAATACAGAATGGAGAAAACTATTTTAATTTTGGAAGCATTCAAGGATATTTAGCAACAATGACCTCAGAAATTTCTCTTAAGATTGTCTCCTATTATAAAAACAGATTTAAGAAGAGGAGATAGAATAGAAATCCTAAGAATCAGGCTGTTTTGGATATGGATTTAAAAAGACAGGTTACAATAATATTTGCCAAGGTGTTACAGATGACTTAGAAATTAAACAAGCAGATGTTTTAATAACTAAAAAAAGTCACATAAATATCCAAAGTAAAGTGACTTTAGACATATTAATTTCTATTAAGAACTGTGACTTGGACAATTTTCTTATTTTGGCCTTACAAAAGATGAGGGTTTGTTGTTGTTGCTGTTGCATGTTTAGAGAAAATTATAAGCTCTAGTATTCAAAATGAAGAAAAGTGTTAAACTTGGGAAGGAGTTTCTGAGAGATGATGAAGAAAACAATTAATTTGTATGATATGATTTGAAAGGATTAAAGACCAAAATTTTCAATAAATTGCTTTTGGTAACAATGGATTTTTTCTTGATTAAGTTTGAATTGATGAAGTTTTAAAAATTTGTTTACAGATATGAGATAATATTTGAGAAAAAGTTTTTTGTTGCACTTTTAGAGAAAATGATATACTTTCTCTGAAAGTGCAATGATAAGCTATTGTTTAAAAGAAAGAATATGAAATTGCATGTGTGTGTTTTAATGGATATTTGATGATTAAATGATGAGGCTTTTTATCTGCTAATAGATAAAAATAAGTTATTGATTTGTCTTGATGAAATGGAAAATTATTTCTTTATATATCTTTTTTTCTTTAAATTTTTACCTTTCCCCCCTTTTTTCCTCTACACTTTTTATTATATATTTTTTTTGGTTTGTAAATACAAAATATATACTTGGTACCCTAAACATCATTATGATATGATTAAAAACAAAATGTTTTCTGAGAAACATGAATGTTCCATGTTTATACAGTGAGATTCTGAAAGAAATGGGATTGAAAGAGAGGATAATTTGATATGCTGAGACCTAAAACTAATAGACAAAATTATACAAAATCCTGAAATCATGTGTGAACTAGTCAAAACTAACAATGTTTCAGCTACAGCTTTGCCGACATTTTCTGTGCTGTGTGATTCTTGGAAATAAGAGGAAGAGAGAAAGAGGGAGGAACAAGCATAATAGTGATTTGGGGAACACAAAGAGAAGAAAATGTAAACAATTGTATGCCCTGGAGGGAACTTATCTTAGCAGGTGATGGTAGTAGCACAGAAGTTTCTTTATTTGCATTCTTTTCATTTAAAACTAATTGCTTTGCCACTATTCGCCACCATACAATTGCAAAATAGTATCCCAGTGGATTGTAATTTCCCTTTAATAGTTTCTGAAAGGCCTCTACATCTGTGCCATAGGGTTATCTCAGTCCTTTTCCTGTGTCTGAAGAAGGGAGAGCTGAGACTGAAATAGTGAAATAGAATGCCTACTAAACTTATTCAAATTAACAAATTGTACTAAAATGTTATTCTTAAACTGATATATTCATTCTTGTTTTGTCTTAAAGCAGGAATAGGAAATCTGAGACCCCAGGGTGACCATGTGTGGACTTCAAGACTCTCTATTCTGCACTTCCCAAAGGATTACACACAGGGGTGGGATTCTACCAGATTGCACCTATTCACTAGAACCGGTTGTTAATATTCTAAGCAACTTGTAGTTGATGATAAGATTTAAAGGAGAGAGAGATAGCTTTATTTTCTGGAGCTCAAAAATAGGTAAAAATGGAGAAAGTACTGAAGAAGTAAACAACAGTTTTAATCGGGTGGGATTCTACCAGTTCGCACCTATTCACTAGAACCGGTTGTTAACATTCTAAGCAGTTCGGAGAACCGGATGTTAGAAGAAATTACTGGCCTAATCCTGTAAGGAAGGCAGGAAGGAAACATTCTGGTGTTGCTTAAAGAAACTGCCTCTCCGTTAACCCTTATTACATTCTTGGCAGGACTAGACTTCCTGTCTCAGGAACTTCTCTGGAGTTTTTTTCCTCTCCTTTGCTGGTACTTTGCTTGTGTGGAGTGACCATTCAAAGTTACAATGGCACTGAAAAAAGTGACTTGTGACCATTTTTCACACTTGGATGGTTTGGCGAGGAGATGTGTGCCTCAATGTGAGTGATATTGAGTTGGCCACATCCAGCCAATAACATGACCACCAAGCCATGTCCACCCAGTCACATGACCACCAAGCCATGCCCACCACTTAAGCCACGCCCACAGAACCGGTTGTTAAAAAATTTGAATCCCACCCGATTACACAGCTTCTGGAACAAACTGCCTTTTCTTCCCCACATGATCGGTCCAAGTAACATCAACAGCAATAGTTTGTTTAAGTTCAGTGAATAATATGAAACATTGCCTTCTAGAATGGGGGTCTTTTACTTATCAGCTAGCAGATGGGAAGAAGGAGTCACAATACTGTATCTTTCAGTGAATTATACTTCCATATTGAACAATATCATTCTTGCACTAACCAGCAAGATCATCAAGAGTCTCACTGAGGTGAGGAAGATAATGATAATTTGAGAAGATAATTAGTATGCTTTGCTAATGGAGGATGTGAAGCTTTATTCTAACATCCTAGATCAAGAGCCTTCAAACTTGGCAACTTTAAGACTTGCACATTCAACTCCCAGAATTCCTCAGGCAGCCATGGAAGCCTAAAAGTCTTAAAGTTGCCAGATTTGGAGACCCCTGCTCTAGATTAAAATGATTCTAATATGGATCCTATGGCTGCAATCAGAACTGAACTGGAACTGCCACTTGAGTTGCATTGTTACTCCATTTCTTCCTTCTCCTAACTTTTTAAATTTTTGCCTCCCTTGGCCATGAATATGTATGGAGAGAACTTTCCAAAGACATAAGAAAGAGTTTGGTAGCACCTTTTCAGACTACTATTAAAAGATGTATCCTTTAATGAGCTACAGACATGTATTCCAGGTAAATGCATACAGACAAATAAAATTTTACTGTTATTAAATACAATTCAGGTATATTGTAAAATGTAAAATAATACTAGGTATGGTGGCACCTCTTTTTTTTTTTTAAGAACAATCTGGTCCCAATGGGATGCCTGAACTCTGTGAAGTCAGTAAATCTGAAAGTCCAGTATGTCAGTATTTACTCCCAAGGAAACTAATTGACATTTTGGTCACTTAGCAACTTCAGGCATAACTGAAGAGGAATATTATCTCTTAATAACCAAATGCAATTAATTATTTCACACAATTAGAATAGTTATAAAAATTAGCACTTGAACCACTATTTCAAGAAGGACCTAATTAAATAACAGAATTAAATACCAGAATGCTAACTGGGAAATTATGCTACTGCTACCCTACATTATACAATAGCAAGTAAAATTGTCAGGAGGCAAAAGGCTTCCTTACAACCTTTCCTCCTCACATGCCTCCTCATTTACATGTATTAGTCCTTGGACACCATGGCGAGAAACAAGAAGAGGATTACAGCAAAAGCTCTGAATGGCCTGAAAGGTTAATTATTTTTGAATTAATTATTTTGTTCTAATTGTATTCAGGCTATTCAAATGGGGACTGTAGACAAGAATGCTTTTTATCTGTTTTATTTAATTATTTGCCACTTGAGAGTTCTTGTAGATCACATTGAAAGAAGCTGATCTTCAGGATGGTTCCTAACCATGATCATGCAAAATGACTAAATGTGTATATCATGACATCACAAAGAAAACTCTGCCATATTGTCAAATATTGTTAACATTTGATTAATATTGGGCAGAAGTCAGAATATCAAGTCTTCTAGATAGCACCTCTTTTTTTTCTGTAATCAGTACAAGAAGGCGATGTTGGTCTACAGATCAACCTTGGACCTGAGTACCTAAGGAAACATAAAGTCCTAGAAGTGGAAAGAACTAGATAGGTGTTAGGATTCCGGCATTTAAAGCATGAGTCTCGAGTCAAACTTCCAAAATTTCAAAAGGATTTATTGGGAGTTAAAAGGTGCGGCGTTGCCTGGGTGTAGCTGACTCTGAGACACATCATTCACTGTCACCCTTGACCCAGATTTCCCCCCACCCCCTGGGTGTATCATAATTCATATTCTCCAATGGGATCCATCCATATCCAAGAGTCATCAATCATTCTCTCCAGTTAGAATTTTATGCGGCAGAAACTTCGGTCACCTAGTTACTATCTTGAAAGCATTTATGGAATGCAGTTTCAGTTTGCAAGCTGTCGCAATGCTCCCCCCTCCCTTTCTGTTGGCAACTCTAAAAGACCATAGAATTATTTTATGAGTTGACAATAGGCAATTGGGACCAATCATGTTGTTCAGTGAGGGGAACCAAATTAAAACATCCCAGCTGAACGGTTGGTTCAATTCTGCTTGAGCTTAAAGGAAACCCTTTAATTAATTCCACTGTTGAACTGCTCTTACACTGCTTGCCATTTTTAATCCCAATATTTTCAACAATTAATTATAATATGTTATTTTAGATATTGTACAACTGTCAGGGTTCCGATGGATGCCCTAATTAATTCATGAGTCTCCAGCGAAGTTTCAAAAGAAATCCAATTATTCATTAGGAGGAACATGCCCAAGTGCAGTTCTCTCTGCCCCACATAATTTACTGCCCACCTATGACACTGTTTCCCCCCTCCTCCCAGGGTGCGTCATAAATCACATTCTCCAATGGAACACTTTTGCGGGCTGTAGAAAACACACCTCTCCAGCTTTCTCTAGTAACCTGGGATAGAATCTGGAGAAAGGTATGCATGGAATGTGCTTCTGGCCATAGCAACCAAGCTTCCCCCCACTCCTGCCTATGGCAACTCAAGAGCAGTCCAGGAATGCTTTACGAGTTGACAACATTTTGATTGTGTTGGACTGAAAAATCTCTGGGCAGTGCTACTGCAAGCTGTACTTGATTCCTGTACATAGTAGATAAACGATTGAATGTTTCTCCATGTAAATGAACAAAATTTTCCCCAATGCAGTAATGAAATTCTAACCTAGTCTTTTCTATAATATGCTAGTCTGTTATGTCTATCCCAGTTTTGCATATGAAGCAGTGATTTCACTTTTCCACTTCAACATGAATCTAATAAAGAAATACTTATTACTGGAGTTATCAAATGGATATCTGGGGCATACTACACTTTTTATTCAATCAGTCTCACAATAACATAACTATAGATTCAGTTATAAACACAGATACATGAAGAGGAAGAAAGGGGGGTAATGGTCTTCAAAACTGACAATGAAAACAAGTTTGGAAAAAGGGGAGGAAGATTATTAGAAATCCAGAAAGCAGGCAAGCACATCATTTTGCACTTTGGGTCCTGGGACTAGTTCCCCCACCCCACCCCTCTTTTCCCATAAATGCAAAGAGCAGGAGAAAATGACAGCAGGGAAGAAAGGCAAACGGTAAGAATTAATAAGTTTCCAGAGCTCTTCCATGGTGTTTACACTGCCACTGAAGTTTAGTGTTCTCCAATCTCCCAAATGCTTTGGGTCTCAAATTCCATTAGTTTCAACCAGAAAAATGTCATCTACAGCAGGGGTCTCCAACTTTGGCCGCTTTAAGACTTGTGGACTTCAACTCCCAGAATTACTTAGTCAGCAAAGCTGATGTACAGTATATTCAGAACCTCATTACATAGAACTAGGAACTCAGACAGCAAATTTTGTTTGCAATCCTCTTCCTTTTCCTCACATGGTAATTATTGGGAAGTGTTCTTGGGACAGAAGGAAAGTGAGGGTGGGGTGTGCGTGCGGGGGATTTGTAGAAGCAAAACTGACTAAATAAAGAAGTTAAAAAAAACTTCAGTACCATTCTTTAGTGCTGTAAAAACTGGAGTTTCCTCAATATGATGTAAATATTCAAACTATTTTTACAGCATAGGTTATCCTGATATTACGTTTCTGTTTCTGTCATTCACAAAAGTTAAAGTTAGCTAAGAAATCCATAGGATTGTCTACCAATAGAATACACGTAGCTCAGGGTTGAATGGTAGAGTTCTTGGTGGTCTTTGAGTTTGATTGTTTGCTTGCAGTTTTTTTTGTTACTCGATCAGTTTACATCTCCAGTGCTCATTGAATAGAATTATTTTTATACTGTAATGTCATATGTAGAAATAGCTATGCTAGGAGAAACTAATGCATAGTTTTAGAATCTAGTAAAATGATATATGGCCTACTGAAGAAAAGACATACCACCCAATAAATGGTTAATTGTAGAATGGGTACCATACGCTAAATAACTAAATGTAGAATGGGTAGAAATTGAAAATTACTATTCTACTGATAATCTATCCTGTGCCTGCTAGTTAAAAACTGGGTAAAGGGAAACTAAAACTCTATTTTAATTTGAACTTGGGAAAGGGGAATTGAAACTGGAGAATTTGGGGGGGATTAATACATTTTACAACTTATGTGTATCCTTCTATTCATTCCTACAATCCATAGAAACTAAAGTTCAAAAAAATATTTTACACAATTCCCCTATCTTGATATTTTCTGAAACCACAGCTATATAAATAGAGAGCAACTGATTTCACAAAAAAGCAAAGAGCTCTATTCAAAAGGGTCACAATGTCCCATCCCCAGAGTTGAATTCTCGTGGCTAAATGCACGAGCTACAATCATGAATTTAGAAGATGCTATCTCTTACCTTGTTTAAGCTTCGTGCTGCACTGTCTTTTCCACCAGGTGTCAGGTTTCGAAGCTGCACATCCAATAATCCCACCAACTGGTCCATGGCACGAACTGAATAAGTGATATCCCCTGCATGCAAGTGGCTTTTTGTTTGTTCAGCAAGTTCTCTAGCAACATTGGCAGCTGTCTCTCCTGATTTCAACTATGGTTGGAAAAAAAAGTGAAAACATTATAAGGTTTTTTATGGGCTAGACTAAAAATAAATAAATAAAGGGAACACAAAAATAAGACATCCTAGATCTGAATGAATGAAATATTCTTATTAAATACAGTACTTTGTTCATTACATAGTTGAATGTGCTGACAACAAAATCACACAAAAATTAGCAATGGAAATCAAATTTAGCAACCCATGGAGGTCTCGATTTGGAGTTACACTCAAAATTAAAGTGGAAAAAAACACTACAGGGTGATCCAATTTTGATGTAATATCCTTAAAACAAGTCAAAATGAGGCTCAGTAATGTGTGTGGCCTCCACGTGCCTGTATGACCTCCGTACAATGTCTGGGCATGCCCCTGATGAGGTGGCGGATGGTCTCCTGAGGGATCTCCTCCCACACCTGGACTAAAGCATCCCCCAATTCCTGGACAGTCTGTGGTGCAACGTGGTGTTGGTGGATGGAGCGAGACATGATGTCCCAGATGTCCTCAACTGGATTCAGGTCTGGGGAACGGGCGGGCCAGTCCATAGCATCAATGCCTTTGTCTTGCAGGAACTGCTGACACACTCCAGCCACATGAGGTCTAGCATCGCCTTGCATTAGGAGGAACCCAGGGCCAACCGCACCAGCATATGGTCACACAAGGGGTCTGAGGATCTCATCTCGGTACCTAATGGCAGTCAGGCTACCTCTGGTGAGCACATGGAGGGCTGTGCGGCCCCCTAAAGAAATGCCACCCCAGACCATTACTGACCCACTGCCAAACCAGTCATACTGGAGGATGTTGCAGGCAGCAGAATGTTGTCCACGGCATCTCCAGACCCTGTCACGTCTGTCACATGTGCTCAGTGTGAACCTGCTTTCATCTGTGAAGAGCACAGGGCACCAGTATTGAATTTGCCAATCTTGGTGTTCTCTGGCACATGCCAAATGTCCTGCATGGTGTTGGGTTGTAAGCACAACCCCCACCTTTAGACGTCGGGCTCTCATACCACCCTCATGGAGTCTGTTTCTGACCGTTTGAGCAGCCACATGCACATTTGTGGCCCCCTGGAGGTCATTTTGCAGGGCACTGGCAGGGCTCCTCCTGTCCCTCCTTGCACAAAGGCATAGGTAGCGGTCCTGATGCTGGGTTGTTGCCCTCCTACGGCCTCCTCCATGTCTCCTGATGTACTGGCCTGTTTCCTGGTAGTGCCTCCATGCTCTGGACACTACGCTGAAAGACACAGTAAACCTTCTTGCCACAGCTCGCATTGATGTTCCATCCTGGATGAGCTGCACTACCTGAGTCACTTGTGTGGGTTGTAGACTCCGTCTCATGCTACCACTAGAGTGAAATCACCGCCAGCATTCAAAAGTGACCAAACCATCAGCCAGAAAGCATAGGAAATGAGAAGCGGTCTGTGGTCACCACCTGCAGAACCACTCCTTTATTGGGGATGTCTTGCTAACTGCCTATGCTTTCCACCTGTTGTCTATTCCATTTGCACAACAGCATGTGAAATTGATTGTCAATCAATGTTGCTACCTAAATGGACAGTTTGATTTCACAAAAGTGTGATTGACTTGGAGTTACATTGTGTTGTTTAAGCGTTCCCTTTATTTTTTTGACCAGTGTATGTTTCATGATGAGGGAACATAAAAAGCAGCCCAGCCGATATCGGCAATAACAATATAGCATTTTTGAGGTTTTGAAAGGGCTTGAAGCATTTGCTAGGCCAGTATAATTCTTAAAACAAATGACTTAACTAAGTCATTGGAGTTCTGGAATTCTGTGTGAAATGTTCTTTGAATAGAATTCACGTCAAACATAAATGATTTAAATATTAATAAAATCTACAGGAGTTCCCTAAAATGGCGGACATTCCCTAAAATGTCAGAGCTGCAAGGGATACCATAAGCATATTAGTAAAATAAGCATATTCTGAAGTTTCTGTACTTAGATAGATTCTGAAATCACAGCAGACATCAGATTCTTTGTCAGTTCTTAAACATCAAATTGTTTTCCACAACATCTTCCCACGAGTCAGGAAAAGCATCAGAAGATACAATTTCTCTCTCAAAAAAATGCTCAGATGTCACATTTGGAGGACAGGTGCTTCCCACCCTATAGATTTGTGGCATTCACCCATTTCAGTAGGTTCTTTGTGTATGTCCTTTTTCACAAGGAGGACATCTTGATCTCTTTAGCTTGTGTTGGTACAGCTTGTTTTAATCACAGGAAAGAGCTTTCTTATTTGTGTTGAATTTTTTGAGCCAACATAATAAATAATACAAATTTTAATTATTAAAACAACAATTATATTTCTTTTCATGTAATTAATGAGTCATGCACCTGAAAAAGTTGACTAATCCATATAAACTAAAAGAGAAAGAAGGAAGTAGTAGTATGGGCTGTAGGCTTATCTTTTCAGAGGTTCTACCAGTATACAAGGAACAAAAAGGGAAAGGTCAGCGTGTAGCGGAGTTTAATGTGTGGCTAAAGGAATGGTGTAAAAGGGAAGGCTTTGGTTTTATTTGTCATGATGTCTGCAGCTGGTCCAATGAAAAACTGTACAAAAGAGATGGTTTGCATCCACCAAAGAAAGGGACTGAGTTACTTGGCATTAAATTCACAGATTTTCTGGATAAACGTTTAAACTGAACAGTGGGGACAGAGAATTAATGGATACAGAACATTTCTGCCACCAGCAACCTAAAATTAACAAGGATACCAGTGCATGTAAAATAGATGTTTGTGCAGGTAAGATTATCAACCTTGATGCCAACCAAAACCAAGCATTTAATAGTGAGTGCCATACCATGTGCACTAATCAGACAGGTGGCAAGAAAATAAGGGCAGGCAGGCACAACACAGGATATGTAGACAAATAAACACAGCATCAGTCATAAAGATCTCAAGTGCCTATATACAAATGCACAAAGTCTGGGGAACAAACAGGGTGAATTTGAACTACAAATACATGAAGGTAGATATGATATAGTTGGAATAACAGAAACTTGGTGGGATGAAACCCATGATTGGAACATACTGGTAGAAGGATACAAACATACAGACCCCATAAAAGAGGAGGTGGAGTTGCACTGGAGTTGCACTGTATGTAAAGGACCACTATATTGCTACAGAAATGCATGAAAGCAAAGATGAAAACCTCCTAGAATGCATATGGGTCAATATAAAAGAAAAAAAAGGATGACATGGCCATAGGTGTATATTATAGGCCACCCAATCAAGCAGAAAAATATATGTCCTTTTTGCCAACCAACTAACAAACATATGTAGGAAACACACAACAATAGTAATGGGAGACTTCAATCATCCTGATATCAATTGGAAAACTAATTCTGCACCAAGTGAGAAATCAAATAAGTTCCTAACCAACCTAGCTCACAACTTTGTTGTCCAAAAGGTAGAGGATGGAACTAGAGGGACAGCCATACTGGCCTAAATTCTTACAAACAGAGAAGAAGTGATAGAGGGAGCTGAAACTGCAAGAACCTTGGGTGAGAGTGACCATGTCATACTAGAATTCAACATAACACAAACACAAGCAATAGAACATAATGACACCAGAGTCTTGGATTTTAAAAGAGCTGATTTTAATGAACTCAGAGAGAACTTGGGAAAGATTCCATGGATGAAAATCCTAAAGGGGAAAACAACTCAAGAATCTTGGGAAACTCTGAAAAGTACAATCATAGAAGCCCAGACCAGCACAATACCACTGAGAAAGAAAAACAAGAAATCCAAGAAGAAACCAGCATGGCTGCACAAAGATCTCTCTGGCAAATTGAAAGAAAAAAAGGTCAAGTATAAAAAATGGAAAGAAGGACATACAACTAAGGCAGAATATCAACAGATAGCCAGAATCTGCAAAGACGAAATCAGGAAAGCAAAAGCTCAGAACAAACAAAGACTTGCAACAAAAGTCAAAGATAATAAAAAAAGTTTCTTCCAACATATAAATAACAAGAAAAAAATCAAGGAAACAGTCGGTCCACTAAAGAGAGAATACGGGAAGGAAGTAACAGGCAACAGAGAGAAAGCAGAACTGCTTAACTCATTCTTTGCATCTGTCTTCATGCAAAAAGAAACTATAGCTCAACCCGCCCAAAGCATAACTGTAAAAGACAGACCAGAAATAAAAGTTAAAATAAGCAAAAAAAAATAGTAAGAGAACACCTGTCTGATCTTGATGAACACAAATCACCAGGGCCTGATGGATTATATCCCAGAGTTTTAAAGGCGCTGGCAGAGGTCATCTCAGAACCACTGCACCATATCTTTCAGAAATCCTGGAGCACCAGGGAACTACCAGAGGACTGGAAAAGAGCTGATGTGGTTCCCATCTTCAAAAAAGGGAAAAAAACAGACCCAGGAAACTATAGGCCAATCAGCCTAACATCAATACCCGGGAAGATACTAGAAAAGATAATGAACTTCCGGTTTGTCGGCTTCGCTAGCGGCAGGGATTCGCGATACTGTGTGATCCCTGCGGCGCTAGCCGTTTTGGTGCCTCCGATCCGGACGGGTTTGGAGGCTAAGGCTGCCCTGCAGGGGTGGCTGAAGATAGGGGGGATCCGGAGAGGGGTTTGGGGGTGTTGCAGACCCCCTCCCCAGGCGGCAAAACCCCCTTTTCTCAAGACGGTGCAGCGGCGGTCTGTAATGGCCGCCACAAAGAAGCCGGCAGCTGGGTAAGAATGTGCAGGAGGAAGAGGAGAAAGTTTTTGAAGTGAAAGTTTTTCTTGGCTGACCCAGGACTTTAAGACACATTTAACATCCTG